GTGTGTGTGTGTGTGTGGTGGTGGTGGTGGTGGCAACGCTGATCCCGTATATCCGAACGGCTGGCCCCCGTGCAACAGGCAGATACCAGAGGCAACCTGCCTAAATGCTCCTATAGCCACAGCGAAGCCGCAACTTGAAGGCCAGAACTCGTGCAATGCCAACAAACACAGTAACGCAGAAGCGCCCCGCAACATCCACCGCACTGGAAGCCCGTACACTTTGTGTGCCCGTCTAGCTGGCACAGCCCACAACTGCTAAAACTCGGCCCGGCTCGGCCTGCTCCGGGTGACGGTTTGCGACGATTGGGTGTCGAGTTGTGACAGCCGGGCTAGGGCGGGCAGGGGCGACCGGGGAAGCATGAGGGTTCAGGGCGGTGGTTTACTTGTTGGGGAAGCGGACGGGACAATTAACTGGGAATATCTTGGTTGGAATCATAAACTGGAAACGGCAAGGTTTACCCCTGTGGGTTTTTTATGATCAGCCTGAAACTTATTGCTGAGAGGAAATTAGCATTCTTGAGCGCCATGCTTTAAATCATACCTACACACAAAAATGCGTTTCTTGCAAAGTTCCCAGCAGGTTTTTGTCGCTGACGGCACTATTTTCACGACATATGCTTCTAGCTAAAAGAATTGGGACTGACCGCCAGGACTGTCAGGAAACATCCCTTTAAAATTTAGCCTCCTAGTTTTCCTGGTTCCCGAGTTAGCAGCTTATCCGCCAAAAACTTTGGCAGGCCCGTACGTGTGGCCCACTTAGGTAGGAATACCAATTTTGGGGATGGGGGCCCGTGCATGCATGTAGATTAAGTTCTCAGAGTTTCAGCCCTGTAGCCCTTCTTGGTCTCAAGATGAAAAATCCGTACAGACGAACACACAGGCACACACACACATAGACAACCCCTCGACAACATCCGTTTTTGCATTGCATAGATGTAAATAATTGGCCAACGCACGGGCTGTAGTGCGATGATGCGTTTTTTGCATAGTTCCGCGCAGCTTTTGTCGCTACCGGCATCGGTTTTTTCGGCAGATCCTTCTGGCTAAACAAATTAAGACTGGCTGCCAAAACTGGCAGGAAACGCCGCTTTAAAATTTCAGCTCTCTAGCTTTCCTGGCTCCTGAGTTAGCAATTTACTGGAAAAAATTTTTTACGGGCTCGCACTCGGGTACCACACATACCCGATGTCTGGGTTTGAGCTCGTTGAGACTTACTTGGACGGGGAACATCTTCCTAAAACTACAGTCTTTTAGCTTTACAGGTTCTCGAGTTATGAGCTTACCCGAGAAAACTTTGGTGAATCCGTGCATAGGTACCACGCTGGGTTTGATCTCGTTGAGACTAATGTGGATGGTTGGCAAGAATTGCTAAAGTGAGGGCGAGGAGATTTCGGAGTATAGTCTTCCGGATGTTCATCAAGTCGCATTTCTCAGTTGGGCGCTCATGTGAAGTTTTTTGAGGCACCCGGGCATAGGCTGTAGCTGATGACGCATTCACTGAATGCTTGCGAATCCATTCCGTGTTTTGTCTCGTGAGAGAGCTCAGTGAATTGGCTCAAACTGAGGCTGCCATACTGCTCGCCGACTTGCTTTCATTTGATGCCGAGTGTGGCTCACCAGGAGGGGGGGGGATGAATGATTTGGATTTTGGAAGCTTCATCCGATGCGCTGAGGGGACTCGACTTCGAATCCGGTGCAGCATTTGGTCGGGCAAGCCGAGCTTTGATATTTTTAACATTTTACTTTGAGACCACTATGTGCAGCACTAAGTTGCGATACAGCTTGGTGGATATTGGTGCGAATTTGACTCATCCGAGCTTCAGAAATGATCTGGACGAGGTGATTGGACGAGCCAAGCAGGCAGGTTGGTCACCGATCAGAAATCACTGAGTGCGAAGTCTGGCTTCACTGTTACTAAATTCTCGAGTAACCACCCACACTTCTGCTCTATCGAAAGCGAAGGATTCGTTTTTGTGCTTGCTCCATCCAGTCAGGTGGTGTCCTCACACCTTCTGGTCAACATTGTTTTCACGGGTCCCACTCCTCGTTGCACTTTTCTTGCTGCAGAATTTTTAGAATCCTAACCTCGCACTTTTGGTTTCTTAATGAAAAAGAGCATGCGTGTCGCATCATTAACACTTGCAGGTTTGTGCAAAATTATGGTGACGGGTACATCTGTGAAAGTGAGCGAAGAAGCACGCGATTTGGCGCAGCTGCATCCCAAATTCCTTTATTTCACAGCAGGTTAATGCTTTTTGCTGAAGTTGCTCTGTGAATTCATCTCTCGGCAGCGATCTACAGCCGTAGGTGTATATCTAGAGGGCCAGGCCCTTCGTGGTGGCATCTCCAGAATGGTCTGGAACTATAGGTCCCTGTTGAGAAAGAATTGACGGACTATCTCCAGAAAATCGAGCAATTGGAAAGGGTCGAAAACCGTTTTGCTGTACAAAAAGAGTGATAAGTAAGGTGTGAATTACTGCCCAGTATGTTTGCTCTCTCGTATTTGCAAGCTCTTATGAGAATTATCACTATCCGATTAACAAAACTTCTTGATGAATAGCAGCCGAGTTAACAAGCTGCGTTCCGGAGTAATTACGGTATGGTGGTTCATATATTCGCTCTGAACCAGCTGCTGGAACGCGCAAGGGAGTATCAGCACTCTTTATCGCCTGTTCGTTGGTTGCGAAAAAGTACGATAGCGTAGAACTGAATGCTGTGCTGCAAGCTCGTGTAGTAGAAGAGGTTGAAGGGGAGTGTGTCGAAAGCGCTGAGGGATCAAACATAGGCCGTTTGACAGACAGTGGTTTTCTCCACTCCCTTACCGATCAAGAGTGGAGTGGGGCAGGGAGATTTCGTGTCGTCCAAACTTTTGCATCGAAAAGGTATTTTGGAAATTGGATCGGAAGAATGATCTAAAGATCAGCGATGATCATCTAAATCACTTACGCTTTACGGATGACGTAGTTCTTATTACCATTATTAACTCTTACGAAATAAACAAGATGCTTTATGGACTCAGTGCACGAAATAAGGAAGTGAGCGTGAAAAATAACGGAACGAGGACGAAAGTGATGCAGTGTTCTGGTATTCCCGCGGCAATATTGTAGATAGACGGCACAAACTTACAGGGGATGGGGACGTCTTAGTAAAATCACTAACAAGGGATATCCGCACTGGTGATACGAGCGATCTTGGTGTGTATAAAATATAAAAATACATTAAAAAATGAGGTGAACTAAGATGTTTCGGTTTATTAAGGCGTATACATTCCTATTCAGCACCACAGCTGGACCTTGTCAATATGGTGGCTGTGATTTTTATGTGTATAAGGGGTAATGTAAATGTATAACATGTATGTTTAATGTCACTTTCTATGTTTGATGTCGATGTACAACAGTTTATACGCAAATGTATATATACATATATATATGTGTATTTGTGTGTATATGTTTTCTGTCCGCGGAAAAGGCACCCGGCAGCGACTTCTTGCATTTCCAGACATGCACTTATGTGTGATAATGCCAGATGTTTGCTTATATGTCTCCAGTTATCGCAGTTGCAAATTTATTAGATTTCGGAAGGGCGCTCTTATCAGAGTCGTGATTCTTCTCAGTTCTGCTTAACAGACAAGTGTTGTAGGAGTTCATCCTCATGATGCCAAGGAATTCGATGCTCAAACAATGAATCAACTGAAATCATTGTGTTGCGAGCAGGGCTGTGTAGCAGTCGGAGAATGTGGCCTGGATTTCAATCGAAATTTCTCGACGCCCGACCAACAAAGGTTGGTCTTCAACGAACAGGTGCTTCTCGTTATAGTGGTGCCAGACAAATATGCATGCCTGTGCTGCATCACTGCAGAATTTTACAATGCCCCTAAATCCAAATTTACCGATCTTATGGCTTTTTTTGTAATTAATTTTTCATTTTTTGGGTGAAACAGTTGTGTCAAATTTTACCGATTTTTATCTTGCGCATATTTTAAATTTTTCGCTAATTCCTGGGTTTCGTTGTAGTTGCAATTAGCGTGCGAATTACGAAAGTCACTATTCATTCATGAAAGAGATGCACATCAGGATATGGTTGCTATGTTGTCCAGGTAAATCTCAAGAATTCAGTTTCAAGTAAGATGGGGCAGATGATGCATTTATGTGAAATTTCGTCATTCGCTTCCGGAAGTATTTCACTTTGTTGTTTATTAGATAACTTATAACATTGCTTCCCCCCAGTACATTTGTCTCATTCGACCTCACACTGTTGCGCACTTCATTTATATCGACTTGGGACTTTTTCTGCTGTTTTTTTGGCTTCTCTTGTGGCCAGCTGTACCTTGCATTCCAGCTCCTAAATTGAAGTGAATGCTTTCCTGTCCATCTAATCCCTTTGCACATTGTTTCAGTCCCTTGTTTTCATTTTTCGCTCTCTCTTTGAGCACATTTTTGAAAATGATGATCAGTTTCAGGTATAAGAAACATCTTCCACCTGTAGTGATTCACTGCTTCACAGGCACCGCTGCTGAGGCTGAAGCCTACGTGAAAATGGGTTGTTTCATTGGGTTGACAGGTATGGTTTGAGTAAGTCTTCATGCCTTACACCCCGTATATATATGTATATATGTACACCTGTATGTGTATATACACATATATATACATATGCATGTATATATATATATATATATATATATGTATATATATTCAGAGTTTTTTAGCTCAGGCACCTTGCCAGAGCAAAGCGAATAACCAGCCTGGCAGTCTCAAGCAGTGCTGCAATTTGTCCAGTTAAGCTTGGTCGGTATAGATTGTTGTCAGTATGATCAGCGGGTAGCAATGTAAGGAGGTCATGTAGCTATGGAACAGACATGTAAAGCGTTAAATGAAACGAGGGAAAGGCATCTTTCGTAAATTCTGCCGTGATCTGTTGCAGGTTTTTTATGGAAAGATCGCAGTGAAGATGGTGTGAAATTTGCATTGCGTGAACGCAAAATACCATTGGAAAGACTTGTTCTGGAAACCGACTCACCTTTTATGTATTCCAAAATTAATGATAAGAAAATTCCGGTGGAAATTCGAAGCTCTATTACAGAAGAAGCGCGAAATTTACATAAATTTACATCGTTCAATCGAAATGAGCCATGTGGTCTGGCTGCTGTGTGCGAACTTATTGCAGCATATATGGATGAAAATCCGATAAAGGTAGCTGAAGTGACAACAACGAACGCGAAACATATTTACGGACTGGAATAAAAATTTTGAAAATTTAAATTGCATTACAATCAGACACACATGATCGATTTGTCTGGACTGATAATACCGGATTATTGAGTTTATAACACTGGATTATCGCAGAAGCAGCTTAGTGTTGTTAGTTCAGCGGCCGCTTTTCGGAGGAGTTGCACCTCTTGCTGGCTGACGCCTTGTAAAAGGCTGTTCGATAATGTAGAAAAAAGAAAAAACAAATTTGAAAGATCTGCAGTTTTTACTTGATGGGGCATCTGACTGTTTGGTTTATTCTTTGTAAGCTGCAACACACTAAGTCGCGAACATAATTTTCAATAAAAAACTAAACATGCAACTAAACATACATCTGGGGGAAGAATCACGTGACCGAAGGGCCACTCGTCAACAAAATTATCGCACGGAGTCCTTGATGTTTTACCGTGGCACAGTACTGCGCTGTTAGTGCAACTGATAGTGGTACTGTATTTGCTGCAGCTGTGCTCCATCATTTGTAGGCGGTCTCGTGATCCTAATATTTTTTTCTCGCTTCACTGTATTTTCTGGAAAGAACTGCTAAATCGCATTTCTTTCAACGCGTTCCTTTAACGCATCTGCTATCCGTCCCCTTGCAGCCTTCCGTTATTCCTCGGAGGTATAACAGGAGTTTGATCATGACGATTTTCTGAATTCATAGAATTCTATCAACACTATTGGGCGGGATTGTAATAGAACCGGGAAAGTAGCCTTTTCGTTAAGGTCGGAGCGGTAAGACTTGGAAAGAAAAGAAAAGCGCGCATGACTTATCACTGCACGTTGGGTCTGTAGAATAAGGGAAGTACTAGGGATTTTTGGCAGTACTAAGTAACTGCCATGTAATATCCATTCCTTGGATGTTCTCCGGTTTACCTCCTCTGTGTGGCGCCAGAAGCGACCGAGCAGAAAGCACCGGCACCGATTTTTCCTGGCAGCATCGTACTTGGCGACGAAACAGTAAATTTTGTTTCACAAGACGTGTGGAATTGATGTCGGTATCCTGATGATGGCGCAGAACCACACAAAACACAACATTTACACGTACTTTACAGCACAAATCGAATCAGCTGTATGGGCGACTGAGATGTGCATTCACAAGTGAGAGATCTATACGCAAAATACATGAGGGCAGGGGCTTGGGGGTAACGGATGGTTAGCTTTCCCAAATTCACGCAGTTGCAGGTTTATTTCGCACACTCCCTTCAATCCTTGCAGCAACTAACCCAGGCTGCAGTGCATCAGGCTTGCCGGTGCGATCATGCCTTTTTGCCCTAAACATGCAAGTCGCTGACAGCAGGGATGACTTATGCGTTATACGTTAAGACTTAGACTCATAGTGGCTATGTTTTGACACTTTCCCGCATACAGGGAAAACGACGTCAGCTGGGATGAAGGTGTTGCACTGTGGGCCGCGTGGCCCCTCCAGTTTTTTGCATGAGGCCGGGTTGTTTTTTCGGTAAATGCTCGTTTAGTGAAAAAAATGCAAATTTGAAGGAAGTCCGGAGAGGATCATGAGATTTGCGAAATGCATTCGCCTTTGAGTTTGCGATAAAATTGAATATTTTCCATGTCTACGTGTAGGGAATTCCACCTCCAAGCTGAACTAGTACCACATGTGAACATAAAATATCCTTGCAAAGTTGTTTACGCTTCGCAGCTTGCCTGGTAAGCGAAATAGCCACTTCGCCTGAAATATCTTCAAGTGCCGTAAGTCGTGACACAAGTGCAATTCGAAACTCACTTTGGATATACAATTGCTCACATGAATGATAAATATTCTGGTAAGATTTCAGCTATCGCCTTTCAGCCAGTCTACGAGTTGGCACGATGTCAACTGTGATCTTTGACGTGACCGCTATCGATATAAGCGTGCGCGATAACTGAATTTAACTCTCTTGCTCATGCACGCGTAGAGAATATGCCCGCAAAGTTTCAGCTTTCTACCTTGTCTGGTTCGCGAAATCGTTTCCCGTCAAAGAAATAGCATATTTTTTTCGGGAGCCCGTACGTGAGATCTAGGTGCGTGTGGGCGATTGCTTTAAAAAGAAAAGGTGATGCACAGGTGAGAATATGGCCCCAAATTCCAGCCTTCCAGCTTTCCCAGTTGCTGAGTTGAAAATGGGTGACAAAGTTTACTCGCTTCTGAACACATAGGCGCACACGTACACGGACGACCTCCTAACAATATGTGTTTTTGTTCGCTGTAGCAGCACTGTAGCGCTGCACAGTAAAAACTCATAAAAAGCATGAAGAAATTGGATACTACAGCGAGGAAAGTGGATACTACAAAATGAAGTAACTGGATACCAATCACTGGCAACGCGCACCGGGCGGGCCCGTGCGATTTTGTAAGAGCGCTTGGAGTCCCAGTAGCTAAAATTTATGGCACATTAGTCCACGAATTTTAGGGATTTAATTGTACAACTACATGATGCCTGGTTAGGGGGCATCCCCTCAAAATTTCAGCTTCCTGTTTTTTCGGGTTCTCGAGTTTGCAATTTTCTCGCCAAAAACTTTCGTGGGGTCGCATGTGAGAACCACATATACCCCGAGGCTGAAAATGAAAAATTTAAATCGTCAGTGAGTTGGGAATATCCCCTTAAAATTTCAGCCTCCCAGGTTTTCTGGTTCCCGAGTTAGCGATTTTCCAGCTAAAACTTCCACGCGCTCGAACGCGAGGTCCAGACGTGCGTGACGATTGGGACCCCGGTCCTGGAATGGCATTTAGCTGGGGAACCCACTGGCAAAATTTTGGCATCGGAGCCTGCTTGGCTGCCGAGTTGAAATACCCGATCAACGAACACACACATACACACACCGGAGTCGTCACAATATGCGTTTTTGCATTTGCATATATGCAAAAACGCATAAAGAACGAATAAAATTCTGAGGAGCAAGGATTGAATGTGGCATGGCTCGTGCAGATAATGCAGGAGGTGTCACAAACCCTGACTGAGCCAGGCTTTCCGGTGCGATCATGCTTTTTTGCACTAAACTCGCAGATCGTTATTAGCAGGAATGATCCCTACGCTGTAGCTTAACACTTAGGCTTATATTGGCCGTGCTTTGATCCTTTCCGGCATGCAGGGTGAAGGGCGTCAACTGAGATGAAGGTGGTGCATTATAGAGCCGCACGGACATCCAGATGCATGGTTACCGGTTTTTTGCATGAAGTCCGGTCGCTTTTTCGGTAAATGCTCGCTTTGTGAAAAAATGACA